CCTCCTCCCTCCCCAAAACCTGACCTAGATCGCACAACAATTCTCACTATTACATCAATGATCAAGCAGCGCTTGGTTTCTCGACCGAGTCTCCGAGCCATCGTCTAATCATCCAACTGTAAGGCATCGTGGTGAAATCAGGCGCTTGTTAAAATAATGAAATCAAAGAAATCTGCATTTTTTTTGGCCAATGGACAATTCTAATATGTTTGTTTTTGTTTTTTTGCTCAACACCTTTATGTCCATTTAAAAACATATATTTGTGTGTGGATTTTTACTTTAAAAAACATTGATTAAAGGCAAAAAGAAATGTAAATTGTCGGTTTTCAAGGATTCTCGGGCTATTGAAGTTACCCAACGTTGGCGGCCATTTTCTCGCTGATGTTTACCTCTAAAACAAGGCCTCCCTGATCTCCTTCAATCGCAAATTTGAAATATTTCAACATCTCCTCAACACTCATTGCTATTTTTTTTTCAACAAAAGGAAGGCAAATGAACAGGCTTTAAGATGATACCAATTACTCTACATGCCCCCCTCCCCCCTAAAAAAAAGACGAGGGCCTGATTCCACAACGTCATGTCACAATTTTTGTACACTTTTGAAGTTACACTACGTAACGATTCGTCGAATGATCGATAGATCGTCCAGTTTTGTTTTGTTTGTTTTTTTGTTTGGTTTGGTTTTGTTTTCGTTTTTGGTTGGGGGGTTTTTGGTACAATTTATAGCTACGTGTAACAACAGGCCATTACTTACGGCACACATCGTGTTTAGCAATTTGCGGACATGTGAAAGGAACACACCAGGCCGCCTTTATTCCAGTATAAGCTTTCCCGTTTTCTTTTCGAGGCGCACACAATACAAAAAGTGCTGCGAGTCTGTCAATTTCTTGTTATTCACTCAACGCAGAAAAACTGCTTTTGAAAGCGGTCTTTGAATGTGGACAGGGGGCGCCTCTTCTTGTATACTATTATATCACAATTGTTTGACAGTTTCATTACATAAAGCCCTTCAGATCCTCGCTCTTCTCCCGCTGGGCCCTCGTTTGTCATTCGACATTTCCATAAGCTGGCGCTGTTCCAAAGTTGAAAGCGCAGATTCTTCGTGTCACGACGCGGTGGATCCAGGCGCTGGTCAATTTTTGAGCATATGATGAGGTTATTGGTATCATTTCAAACACTGTTCATTTATCTGCGTTAGGTAGAAAAACATATATAAATCTGTGTTGAATTTAGTGGCGTCGGTGGCCTAGTGGTTAAGCTCTCGGACTCGCAACCGTAAGGTCGTGGGTTCGAATCCCGTCAGGGGCCCGACGTTGTGTCCTTGGGAAAGGCACTTTGCACACATTTTCCTCACTTCACCCAGGTGGGAATGGGTACCCGGCTATAGACAGTGAACGATCTTGTCAGTTTGATAGTGTTTGGGC